CTGTATGCTTAATACATATTTGCCAAATGAACACAGGAAGGAATGACAGCAATGATCTTCTAGTCACAAATGCTTGAAGCCCTTGCTCATCTTTGACAATTTTTTTCTTTCCTTCACATCCAGTTAGTTGCCTGCTCCTGTTGATTATTTCCACTTCAGTGTTTCTCACATTCTTTTTCATTATAACTGATACCACCTTTGGCTTCTTATGTCCTCATTCCAGAATTGCTGAAATATTCTCCTAACTGATTTTTTTTTTTCTTTCTTTCTTTCTTTCTTTTTTTTTTTTTTTTGAGATGGAGTCTCGCTCTGTCGCCCAGGCTGGAGTGCAGTGGCACAATCTTGGCTCACTGCAACCTCTATCTCCCGGATTCAAGTGATTCTCCTGCCTTAGCCTCCCAAGTAGCTGGAACTACAGGAGTGTGCCACCATGGCTGGATAATTTTTTTTTTTTTTTGTATTTTAAGTAGAGATGGGGTTTTGCCATGTTGGCCAGGCTGGTCTTGAACTCCTGACCTCAGATGATCTGCCCACCTCAGTCTTCCACAGTGCTGGGATTACAGGTGTGAGCCACCATGCCTGGCCTTCTCCTAACTGATTTGTGGATCTAAATTGTCACTCTCTGATTCATTCTGCACAGCATCAGATTTGTTTTCCTAAAACACCGTTTTGTTTTGTTTTTTTTAAGTAGAGTTTTGCTCTTGTCAACCAGGCTGGAGTGCAGTGGCGTTATCTTAGCTCACTGCAACCTCTGCTTCCCAGGTTCAAGCGATTCTCCTGCCTCAGCCTCCTAAGTAGCTGGGATTACAGGCGCTTGCCACCATGCCCAGTTATTTTTTTTTTTTTCTTTTTGTATTTTTAGTAGATATGGGATTTTGCCATGTTGGGCAGGCTGGCCTTGAACTCCTGACCTCAGGTGATCTGCCTGCCATGGCCTCCCAAAGTGCTGGGATTACAGGCGTGAGCCACCGAGCCAGGCCTAAAACACCATCTTGATCTTAACACTCACCTGCTTAAAAATGTTCTGTGGGCCAGGCGTGGTGGGTTGTGCCTGTAATCCCAGCACTATGGGAGGCCAAGGTGGGCGGATCACGAGGTCAGGAGATCGAGATCATCCTGGCTAACATTTTGTCTCTACTAAAAGTATTTTGTATTTTGTCTCTACTAAAAATACAAAAAATTAGTCAGGCGCAGTGGCACACGCTTATAGTCCCAGCTACTCTGGAGGCTGAGGCAGGAGAATCGCTTGAACCCGGGAGGCGGAGGTTGCAGTGAGCAGAGATCTCACCACTGCACTCCAGCCTGGGCGACAGAGCGAGACTCCATCTCAAAAAAAAAAAAAAAAAAGTTCTGTGAATTCAAGCTCCTCAGCATAGCAATCAAGGCCTTCCATAATCCATTCCCAACCTACCTCACATGCGTTCTCTGCTCCAGGGTCCCTATTCCTGGGGACCTCATTAAGGAGAAGTACAAATGATAAGTGCTGTGGTTCAGAGGTGGGTGAGGGAGTCAATATAGATTGGAAAGAGGCTGTGGATCCAGGATGGCTTTGTCAAGGTCTGGATTCACTTTTCTAAATCTGACTTGGTCCGCTCACAGCCTCTCCTTTCTCAGCCCATACCTGGGAAGGAATTTCACAACAGGTGACACTTAAGCCAGATTGTGGAATACGATTCAAATCGGTGAAAGGGAGGTGGGAGATGTGTTAGGAATAGAGAGAAAAGAGCCTGTGATAGATAGATTTAGATTGGACCATAGTGGGTCTTACATGCCAGCTTGGGATAGAAGAGAAAATCAAATCAGCAAGATTTGATTTTATCTTATAACTCTCCAAGTTTTCCTAACAAAGAAAACACAGGATTTGAGTAATACTTTAGGAAAACATGTCCATGTAAAGGGTAAGATTACAATGGGAGACTGGTGAATGCTCAATTAGGAGGTCATTCAACTGTTCAGACCTGACTTGATAATGGCTTGACCTAGGGAGGTGGCAATCCATCTACAAAGAGTCTAAGACTTAGCCTTTAGAAAGAAGATATATTCTAGGCTGGGCTCAGTGGCTCACACCTGTAATCCCAATACTTTGGGAGGCCGAGGTGGGTGGATCACCTCAGGTCAGGAGTTCGAGACCAGCCTGGCCAAGATGGCGAAATCCTGTCTCTACTAAAAGTACAAAAATTACCTGGGTGTGGTGGTGGGTACCTGTAATCCCACCTACTTGGGAAGCTGAGGCAAGAGAATCGCTTGAGCCTGGGAGGCAGAGGTTGGGTGAGCCAAGATCACAACATTGCACTCCAGTCTGGGTGACAAGAGTGAAACTCCGTCTCAAAAAGAAAGAATTAAAGAAGATATATTCTTACCTTTCAGCAAGATTTCCTGGTGGTCCTACGCCAATGAGAAGAGAAGGAGTGGTTGGACCTTAGCATGCCCTTTGGGTTTCTCCAAATTTCCCATGGCCATGTTTACACCTTTCCTTAGTACTGAGGCCCCAGACAGCTATGATGCCACAGCCCCACCATCATTATGTCTGGAGGGTCCAGACTCTTTCCTTTGTGTGTGGGTCTGTTTCTTCAAATAAATCCATTTCCACAGCACCACCTTGAGCTGCAACGTTTAGTAAAACATAAGTATGGCATATGTTGCTGCAGTAGTTGCAGCTTGTCACTCTGCCCCAATTAACTGGCTTTTTTTTTTTTTTTTTTTGAGACAGGGTCTTACTTTGTTGCCCAGTCTAGAGTGCATGGAGTGCAGTGGCACGATCTCAGCTCACTGCAGCCTCACTCAGTGAGTGCTCAAGTGATCCTCCCACCTCAGCCCTCCACGTAGCTGGCACTACAGACACACACAACCACACCCGGCTAATTTTTTGTATTTTTTGTAGAGGTGAGGTTTCACCATGTTGCCCAGGCTGATCTCGAACTCCTGGGCTCAAGTGATTCACCCGCCTTGGCCTCCCAACGTGCTGAGATTACAGGCGTAAGCCAACACACCTGGCCTTGACTTCAACCTTCTGAAGGGTCAGCTGTCAGGGTCCACCAGCCCCACTCCTGTAAGTCTTAGACCCTGGAATCACAAGCCTCTCTGTTGCCATTGTGAACTATTAGGCAGAAGAGGGAGCAGGAGCTAGAAGGCCACTAGATCCTTTGGACTTCAATACAAGTCAAAGACGTACTGCCAAAGAACTGTCAGGAATGCCATCTCTGTATACAGATAAAAGGACATATTTATCTCCAAAGCAGGGAAGAAAGAGACCTTCAGGTTCTAGTTTCCTTCATTCCTCAGCAATCTGCCTTTGTGGAAAACATTTCAGCCTCTTTCTCCTCCCCGCTGTTAAAAAGTTCTCTTGCTCTTTTTTCTCTTGTCTTTGCTTTAGTCCACTTTTAATTAATTAATTACTTTATTTATTTCTTTATTTTTGAGATGGAATTTCGCTCTTATTGCCCAGGCTGGAGTGCAATGGCGGCTCACTGCAACCTCCACCTCCCGGGTTCAAGCGATTCTCCTGCCTCAGCCTCCCAAGTAGCTGGGATTACAGGCATCCACCACCACACCTGGCTATTTTTTTTTTGTATTTTCAGTAGAGATGGGGGTTTCACCATGGTGGCCAGGCTGGTCTCGAACTCCTGAACTCAGGTGATCTGCCCTCCTCTGCCTCCTAAAGTGCTGGGATTACAGGCATGAGCCAGGCATGCCCGGCCTTTTTAATTTAATTTTATTTATTTTCCTTTCTTTATTTTTTGTTGAGACAGGGTGTCACTGTGTTGCCCAGGCAGGAGTGCAGTGGCACAATCATGGCTCACTGCAGCCTTGACCTCTTGGGCTCAGGTGATCCTCTCACCTCAGCTTCCTGAGTAGCTGGGATTACAGGTATGTGCCACCATGCTTGGCTAATTTTTTTTTTTTTTTTTTTTTTTTTTAGACAGAGTCTTGCTCTGTTACCCAGGCTCGAGTGCAGTAGTTTGATCTCGGCTCACTGCAACCTCCACCTTCTGGGTTCAAGTGATTCTTCTGCCTCAGCTCACGAGCAACTGGGACTACAAGCGCACGAACCACGCCCAGCTAATTTTTTCTTTTTGGTTTGTTTGTATTTTTAGTAGAGATGGGGTTTCACCATATTGGCCAGGCTGGTCTCGAACTCCTGACCTCGTGATCCACCCGCCTCAGCCTCCCAAAGTGCTGGGAAGCGTGAGCCTCCGCTCCCATCCCCGGCTAATTTTTATTTATTTTGTAGAGATGGGGTTCTTGATATGTTGTCCAGGGTGGTCTGGAACTCAGGTTCAAGTCATCCACCTGCCTTGGTCTCCCAAAGTGCTAAAATTACCACTGTGATCCACCACACCCAGCCTCAGTCCATTTTTCTTTCCCCATCTATCCCTTGAGTTCAAAGTGTGAGCTGAGTTCCTTGCTCCCATATCTCTGAAGAGAGTCCCCAGCACCAAGGTCTCCTGCCTCAGTGGGGTTGCAGCACTCTATTCTGACCACATCAGTCCACTGAATTGTCTTTACCTCGTCCTAGGCTGGGAGCCCTCTCAGGCCAGGGACAGGGCCTTATTTGTCTCTATATGCCCAGTGCCCCACATGGGAGAAATGAGGAGCCCAGCCCTGCTGCTTCCATTCGTGCCCACTTTTCTCTGCATTACCCCAGCCCCCCACCTAACTCCAGATAATTGGAGGATGACAGACAGGAGACTCTTTGGGTGACTCTCAGATGCGTCATGGGCAGCAGAAGGTGAAGGTTTGACTGCAAAGGCAGCGTCTTCCTAGTGCTGGAGACTCTACAGGCCTCATCCTGCCTTCTTTCAGCTGTCCTCTGAGATGAAGGCGGCTGCTCCATCAGCCAATCCCAAAGCTGGGGATTGAGGAGAAATGGGGATTGAGGAGAAATGAAGCGTCAGCTCACATGCCTTTCTGGCCAGTTCTGGCTGTGGCCCAGCTTCTCTGTAGCGTCCCTCCTACCCCACCAGACCCCAGTCACAAATTCCTGACTTGCTTCTTCCAAACTTCACTCAGTCCCAGGGATGGCTCTGCAGGATGTGTGCAAGTGGCAGTCCCCTGACACCCAGGGACCATCACCTCACCTGCCTCAGGCTGGTGGCTGGGCTGTGCCCCGGGGCTGTGACCCTCAAACCTTCCTACAGATCCATGGCCCCAGACTGGCCCATGGCACTACCACCCTGGCCTTCCGCTTCCGTCATGGAGTCATTGCTGCAGCCGACACGCGTTCCTCCTGTGGCAGCTACGTGGCGTGTCCAGCCTCATGCAAGGTCATCCCTGTGCACCAGCACCTCCTGGGTACCACCTCTGGCACCTCCGCCGACTGTGCTACCTGGTATCGGGTGTTACAGCGGGAGCTGCGGCTTTGGGAACTGAGGGAGGGTCAGCTGCCCAGTGTGGCCAGTGCTGCCAAGCTCTTGTCAGCCATGATGTCTCGATACCGGGGACTGGATCTCTGTGTGGCCACTGCCCTGTGCGGCTGGGACCGCTCTGGCCCTATGCTTTTCTACGTCTATAGCGATGGCACCCGCCTGCAGGGGAATATCTTCTCTGTGGGCTCTGGATCTCCCTATGCCTACGGCGTGCTAGACCGTGGCTATCGCTACGACATGAGCACCCAGGAAGCCTACGCCCTGGCTCGCTGTGCCGTGGCCCATGCCACCCACCGTGATGCCTATTCAGGGGGCTCTGTAGACCTTTTCCACGTACGGGAGAGTGGATGGGAGCATGTGTCACGCAGTGATGCCTGTGTGCTGTACATGGAGTTACAGAAGCTCTTGGAGCCAGAGCCAGAGGAGGATGCCAGCCATGCCCATCCTGAGCCTGCCACTGCCCACAGAGCTGCAGAAGAGAGAGAGCTGTCTGTGGGGCCAGGGGAGATGACACCAGGAGACTACAGGATGCCAGCAGGGACTGAGACAGTGTGAGAAGCAGGACTTGGTTGGGGGTGGTGTAGGCCTGGGGAGCAGGTGGGAGGATGAGCAGCGGGGGAGGGTCCCGCTGGCAGCAGCCTCACGGCATCTGACTCTAGCCTGTATGGGTTACTGGCTTCATTTATTGCAAGTCTCTGTCCTTTCATGACTCCCAGAGCTATTATGGCTCTGCCCAACAAGTTCCTGTTGACTCCCAGTGGATTGGTCCAGCCTTCTTCTTGGCACCAAGTCCATCTTTCAGTCAATACTTGCAGTGCGCCTACTGCATGCCAGACACATGCTAGGTGCTAGACCCTCTTTTCTTGCCATCTTCTCTGCTTTTTTCCATCATCTCATCCCCAGTTTCTCTTAGTTTCAGTCTTCTATATGTCTCAGCTTCAGCGTCTTTGTCTCTTTCTCCTGATCACTTTGTCAGCTTGGTAAGATGGGGCACCCGGGAGGGAAGCAGCCCCTCTGAGAATGAGGTGTAGTGATAGACACCCTTTGGATGTTGATGGGTTTGTCTTATCTGCTCTCTTCCTCTGCCTGGACCATAATGACTAGAATGATTATTCCTTTACTGAATGCAGTTCTCATGACAACGCTTTGAGGTAAAATAAGTCTCACTTTACAGAAGAGGAATCAGGTTCAAAGGGTTATGTGACTTGCCTGGGGTCACACAGTAAATGGCAGAGATGAGACTTAGATCCAGGCCTTCTCCTCCAGGGTCCATGCTCTTTCAGCACAGCTCTCCCTCCCTGCCTGGCCCTCTGCCCTGCCTTTCCTCTCTTCCCTGCAGGCTTCCGGAGAGGGATGCAGAGGGAGAAAGTAGCTGGGCCAAGCCCCTGCCTGGTGGCCAGGGTTGAATGAACCCTGAGGGCCTGGAGGTTGTGAGCTCACAGCAGCTGCTGCCTGCACAGGCTCCTGTGGCTTTATCTTCCAGGCCTGGAGCCATCCCCCACAGTCCGCCCTTGCTCTCCAGATTTCTGGGCCTGGCGGTGCTGCTGCCAGATTTCCCCTCCTCCTTTCTTCCCTTTGCCTTCTTTCCAGCCCCTCCTTCCTGATGCTCCCTCTGGAGAATGAAGACAAGAGGGAGGTAGTTGTTCCAGTGGGAACTGTCTAGCTAGCACATCCTCTCCTGCCCCTACTGTCCCCATTCCCACTCCCCCAGAAGCCCAAACTTGAAGATCCAGACTAACACCTCCAGGAGGGCCACTGCCCTGCTGTCCCCTGGCCAAATGAGAGAGAAAGCACTGTTAACCTGTGAGATAGAGCCTGAAGGAAGGGGGCCTGAAGGAAGGGTGCTGAAGTTGCTTTCCTCACATCCAATCCTAAAGCTTCCAGTCCCAAGAATAACAGCCTCCTGCCTTCCCTCCTGGACACCCCTCATCCCCGGCTCTAGCATAGGCCTGAGCCTTAATCTTGCACCCCAGATTAAACATTCCTCCAGCCTGGAGCTGGACAGACAGACCTCCAGACTCTGGTGCAGAGCGGGTGACTGGGGATGGGGGAGGTCCCCTGACTGGGGAAGGGTCAGGGGGCTCCAGAAGGGAAAACCCCAGAAAGGACACAGTAGGGAGAAATTGTGGTGGACCCCACAGAAAGGTGTCCACTATGGGGGGACTGGCCTTCAAGGAATCTGGCCAGTGGCCTCTGCAGTCACCCTTCTTTACCCCTTGCTCACTCCCCAGCCTCAGGGGAGGAGATGTGGGACTCCAGGACTGCTAACTGGGAGGCAGGGATCCCTGGAGGAAGCTGTGAGGAGGGGCAGCTTTTGCATGGGGTTCAAGTGTTTGACTTGGCATAAGAGGGTGCATATGCAGTTCTGTGTCCAGGTGTAGGTGAGTGATACAGGATGGGTTTGTGCACATGAGTATGGCAGGCGATGCATGTGCAGTTCCTGTGTGCAGAGACAAGAAACAGACTGAAAGAGAAAGAGCAACACCTGAATAAGGAAATCAGCCTCTCAGCAGGAAGACTGCCAGGCCTTGTCACTTCTTTTGGGGAGTGCTCCAAAGTAAAGAGGAGGTGGGGGACAGGCTCACACCACCAATTCTCTACTTCCTCATCCTCCCAGCCCTATCCTGAGCCTCTCAGGAAGTGAGAAAAGACAGGCAGGGAGGGGTGGCCTGGGGCCTGGGATTGCCACCTGAGCGCAGTCAAAGGTGGGCTGTGAACTGCATGCAGCTGTCTCCCCCTGAGACACTTGGCGCCTCACCCCCATTGCCAAACTGGAGGGGGAGGATGAACTCAGACCAAGAGGGCAGAACCAGACCAAGAGGGCAGAACCAGGGGTGGGCGGACCCTCCTCTCTTTTCCTTCCATAGTCCCACCCATCTTCACTCCCTTTGACAGGTCCTGTCCTTCCAGAGGATGAGGTAGTTGAGGCCAGAGATGAGCCCATGGGTCTTGCTGACAAGCCGGTTCCCTCTGCCCTATTATTTTCCTCTCTGTTTTGAATGAGTTGGTGGGGAGGACCTTAGGAGAGTCTTAGGGAGGGCTGGGCAGACAAAGGCCAACACCCCATTCCAATGCACCCCTCACTGTCTAAGAGTAGCCCATGAGTCATTTCCCCCATTTCTCTACTAATTCCTGAAGGCTTGATACAGATATGGGGTTGAGACCAAAGGGACAGAGATCTTGCCCTTCCTGCCCCGAACCAGAAGACCTTGTCCCTCTGATTCTCTGCTTGGGGTGCCTACCTCCTCACAGTCTCTGGAGAGCTCGGGGGTATAGCCGGCTCTTACACAAGCCCTTGGACTGTCAGAGGTCCAGGGTTCCATCCTTCAGCAGAGTAAATGACTTGAACTCCAGCACTGGAGGGAGGGGACTTGTTCTCCCACCTCCTGCTTGTCCTTATCAAGCAGGTGGGGAAGGTGTGAGGGAAGGTATGTTCACATTGAAGCAGCTTTCCCCAGCTGCCAGTACCCCACACGAAGGGGGAGTCACAAGGACCTATCCTGCCTCGCCTACTTGTGCGTGCCTCTGGAGCCCTGGAGTTGAGAGGCCTGGGCTCTCATGCTGGCTCCTGAGTGGACTCCTTCTCTGTACATTGAGAGATGCTTGCAGTTCTGGCTCAGCTCCCACCCAGTTGACTGCTTCTGTCTCTCAACAGCCTGCCTCCCTGGTCCTCTCCCTCCTCCTTTGTGTTCTGCAAAGACTAAGACCATGGCCTGCGGGAGAATTAAAGGTGGGAGCAGCGGGCCCAGATTCAATGTGACTGTCTCACCCTGGTCCACCCTTTTCCCACTTGGCACTACGAGCCCCAGGAAAGGCTGGTTTGCCCCCACTGCAGCCTGCCACCCCCATTGTTTTTCTAGTCCAGAAACCCCTTCCCCTTAGTCTTTTATCCCTCCTGCCCTCTTCTCAGCAGCTCTCACACTTCACCCTCTACTTCTCCTGCCCACCTTGCCCTCTGAACAATCCCCCTATCTTTTTTTTGAGACGGAGTCTCGCTCTGTCACCCAGGCTGGAGTCCAGTGGGACGATCTTGGCTCACTGCAACCTCCACCTCCCAGATTCAAGTGATTCTCCTGCCTCAGCCTCCTGAGTAGCTGGGACTACAGACATGTGCAACCATGCCCTGCTAATTTTTTGTATTATTAGTAGAGATGGGGTTTCTACTGTTGGCCAGGCTGGTCTTGAACTCCTGACCTCAAGTGATCCACCTGTCTCAGCCTCCCAAACTGCTGGATTTATAGATGTGAGCCACTGAGCCTGGCTGAATCCTTATATCTTAATTTCCTTGGACAGCTTGAGACTAAGAGAACCCAGGAAGTTGGTGGTGAGAGTGAGGCGGAGTCATCATCTCCTTACTCATGGAATTAACCCAAGTCCTCCCCTATCTAGAAGGACATGAAGTGGCTTTTCCCCCCAAGGAGAAAGGAGAATGAACTGGGAGGCAAATAGGCTAGGCCTCTCCTCCCATCCTTTGGGACAATGAAGCTTTGTAAAGAAACCTGAGTGCAAAAACAGAAGCAGGGCTCCAGCTTTACAAAATAAAGTGTTTGTTTATTATGAAATTAGAGATGGAGGCCCCTCCCCTTCCTCCCTCTTTCCCCTTCCCCAGCCGCCTTCCCCTTTCCTTTCCCTACTCCCTCAGGAAGCACACAAGACAATGCCCAGGGCTGGGATGCCCAGGGTAAGGTGACAGCTGGGCAGAGCTCCAGGGAGGCGGCCACACGGGAGGCTGGAGCTCTTGCCCTGGGAGGCGGGCTGGTTCCCTCTCTCAGCTGGAGGCCAGTGAAGCCAGGATGAGGCTGAGGCCATGAGTGATGGATGGAACCATGCAGGCAGGTCTGTAATGACAGGGGAGCCAGTTTAGAGGCAGTAGGGAGTGGGAGCCTTCATCCACTGCCTTGCCCCACAGTCTAGAGGCACTGACCTGGGGCACAGCATCCCCTGCAGGAGGGTGGGCAGCAGTGGCTGGAAGTTTCTCTTGATTTTGGGATGGACAACAGAAAAAAAACAAAAAGCCAGTCACAGGGACCCAGAGAGAAGGAAAGGAGATGTGGGCAGAAGGCAGACACAGAGCATGTGTATGGGCAAGGGAGACACAGGGAGACTATGTGTGAACTTCAGAACTGCAGAGACAAAACAGCCACGGAGGAAGGAGAGGAATCACAGTGAGAGAACGCAGGGCCAGGGCCAGGGCCAGGAAACCCAGGCCCGGACAGAGGAGTGTGTCACAGATAGAGACAAAGATTCCTGGAGAGAGACACACAGACCGACTCAGGAGGAGGGAGGTGAGAGCGAGGGTGCCCCGGGGAAGCAAGGAGGGACACAGGGACAGGGAGGAGGCCTGAGGCCCCTGGGCTGCTGCCGCCCGCCTGGACCCCGTGGGGCTCACTCAGAGGGCCTGTGCCGGCTGCCCCCGCGCGGTGGGCCGGGCCAGCGCGGGCGCTCAGGGGGCCGGGGGCTCTTTGGCCCCATACAGCTCCGCCAGGGTGCGGAAGAGCGGACCCCAGTCGTCCAGCGGCTCCGCGGGGCCGGGGACGCCGCCGGCTTCGCTGCCGGATCCCAGGGAGCTGAGGGAGCCGCAGGAGGAGCCCCGGCCCTCGTAGCCGTACACCTGTACCGAGTCGTACGGGGGTACGCTGGGGTCCTCGTCCGCCTCGCGGAGCCGCAGCACCAGGAGCTGCGCCACGTCGGCGGGGCCGGGGGGTCTGGGCTGGCGCGACACCCGAGCCCGGGGCAGCACGTCTCGGCGCGCGGGAGGGCCGGGCGCCTGGGGGGCCGCCCCGTCCGGGTTCTGCAGGGCCGTGATGTCGAAGGCCTCGGTGTCCTCCTCGCCGCCGCCCTCGTCGTCGTAGGTGATGATGTTCTCTCGGACGTCCTCCTCCTCCAGTACCATCAATGCTTCCTGCTTCTGCCGCCGCAGGGCCACGAAGAGCACTACCAGGGCTGCGCGAGAGACGGGCACACAGGCCCTGAGCCAGCAGGGCCGGGAGCTGGCGGCCTGTCTCCATGTGAACGGCTGACCCATCAGGTGACAGAAGCCGTGTGGCTAGGGGCTGACATCTAGCAAACCTTGCATTGAATCCTGACTTCAGCCCTTACTCGCTGTGTGACCATGGGAAGTTGCTTGACTTCTCTGAAGCCTCAATTTGCCCCTCAGATTACTTGCGTGGAAAATAGGGAAAATATATTTACTTCTAAGGGTTGCTGACACAATAAAATGAAATATCACAAGTGATGTGCCCAGCACCATAATTGGCACAGAGTAGGGGGCTCAATTATGATTGGCATTATGATTGGCAGGTCACGGATAGAGACCAGAGCTTTTCTCTTGGATGCATCAGGTGGTGGGAAAATCCAGGCATGACGGTCGTTCAAGCCCTAAGGTGGATTTCCCTATGTCCAGAAACCTGGTTCTTCTCCACACCCTTGCAGGCCCAGATCCCACAGCTCTGTCCCACTGCCGCCTGACTCACCAAGCAGGGCACCCACACAGGTGATGATGGCAAGCAGGGCGCCGGTGCTGAGCCCAGCAGCTGAGAGGTGAGCCTCAGGCCAGCAGGATGCCACAGAGCCGTCAGGCTGGCAGCGGCACACACTAACAGTCACTGTGGCAGTGCTGCTCAGTGCCGGCTGCCCCCAGTCCCACAGTTCTATGGGAACCAAGTAGGGGGCCTGGCGGGGTGGAGCAGGGCGGGAGGGCAGCAGCAGGCTGGCGGAGCCATCTGTGGGAGAGGGAAGGTGTTGAGGTATCTTCTGGGACACCTTCCAGGTAGGATTGGTCCAGCCCATAGAGCCAGCTTCCCATGGGGAAGGTTTACAAAGAGCCAACAAATGAGTGTAAGTCCACACCCATCTTCTGTTGGGCAGAAGGCCCAGGCATGTGGGGCAGGGGTCAGGCAGGCTGGGCTAAGGGTGGAGGAGGAGGAGAGGAGGACAGAGGCAGGTATGGACACAGTTGTAAGAGGCTACCCACCTCGGTTGTCCCGGACAGTAAAGTTGGCATCGGGGCCCAGAGGACCTTGAAAGGAGACATGGCTACTGTTGCCAACTTCATCTCTGTCCAGGGCCTGGATGACCTGAATCAGCTGGGAGGAGGAAGAGAGAGGCCTTGTATGGAGTGGGCTGCTGGAGGCCTTGATGTCCCAACCCCTCTGCCTCAGTTGCTCACCTGGCCAGGAGCTGCAGAGTCACACACAAAGGTATCGTAGGGCTCAGCCAACTGGGGAGCATTGTCATTCTCATCCAGGGTCTGGATGGTCACTTGCACGCGCGAGGCCTGTGCAGAGCTGTCTGAAGCCAGAACACCAAAACACACACCACACACACATCACACAGTTTACACATAACATATGTGGTGCATGGGCATGGATGCCACATGCAGCATATAGCATGCACAGGAAACACATGAAATATGCATGTAATGTACAAGTAGAAAGCAATGTTGTAGAATGAATGGAACAATACCAAGTGCATACAATATTCATGTAATACTCAAGATATATGCAATACACAATAAACATTCAACAGGAATGCCGCAGCCATGATACACATATACAATAACCCACATGCAGGGCACATGCAGCATAAATGAAAGATAGAAGGTGCATACAAGTTGCATGCAGACAACAGCCACGAATATACAAAACACATTCATACCATATATCCAATGTACACTCAACATTTAAAACAAATGCAATGTACATGAAGCAGATGTTTGATACGCATAGTGAATGCAGTGCCACATCCCCCGACAACACCCAGAGCCCATAGAATGCATTTTCACGCATAGAGGCCATGCACAGCACCAGTGGGGTGGACAGACACATATACACCACACACACACACACACACACACACACACACACACACACACACCCCATCAGAGGTCTGGGAGGCTGTAGTACAGCAATGAGCATCACTTAGAGTTGACCTTGGGTAGGAAGGAGCTGCATGATCTACAGGGTGCAGAGCCCAGGGCAGCTTGGGCACCACAGCCAGACACAGGCCCTACCTTTACCCATCCCTTCATGAGGTGACTACCTACCATTACCCTACCTTGCTTCTCACTGCCAGTGCCTTCCAAGAGAGAATGCAAAGTGTGTCTCCCTGTCACCTCTCTTAGGCCGGGTCTCCCAATTCCTTTAGTCTTTCCCCTAGGCAGAGGGATAGCTGGCTGGGCCTGGTGAAAGGGGCTGAGGTTGCAGCATGGGCAGGGGAGGCTGAGTGGATCACCTGGCTAAAAGGATTGGGATACCCCAGAGAGAGGATGGCGAGGGGGTCTACTTTTTCACTGCAGTAAGGGCCCAGTGCTGCTAGTTGGTATCTGGGTGAGGGTAGGAGCAGGATTTGGCAGGAGAATGAGAAGACAGTGACAGGAAACACACACACACAAACACACACACACAAAGTTATGTATCTACAAGCAGCCAAAAACATACTGTGTGTACACGGACACACACACATGGCCATCCATGCACTAACAGATAACATGTGCACCGCCAGGTAGTATCTGTGCATATCACTATGCACACAGTAGCATGTACAGAAACATAACCCTAGACATTACATAGAAACATAAACATAGCATTAAACACATTTGAGAGGCAGTATGGTGGGGATAACAGCTCAGACTCTGCACACTGACTGGGTCTCATGGCTCCACCACTTAATCTCTATGTGACCTTGGGAAGTTACTTAACTTCTCTTTGCCTGAGTTTCCTTGTTTTAAATGGGGAAATAATCATACTTCCCTCATAAACTTGTGGTGATGATTAAATGAATGAATCCATTTTGAAGATGGATAGTGCCTGATACACAGTAAGTAGTAAATTATCTGTCCACAAATGCCCACATACACAAAACACATACAAACAGCTGCATGTGCATACCACTATACATATCCAATCACACATATGCACAATTAATATAAATATAATTATGTACCCTCAACTGTAAACACATATATATCCATTACAGATATACACCCACAAATATATATGTGTGTATATCTACATACTTTCCCCACATTTGGAATTATATGCATGGCTGAGAACATACCCACATGTACACATTCATAGAGCTCTTCACTGACACATTCAGATATCCATATATGCAAGGGCAATTTTCATATGCAGTATGAAGACAAAAGGGTAGAGGAGCCCCTGGGGCATACGCAGGGGTGATAAGGGGCTATTCACAGAAGAGTGGGAGGGAGGTCTCCCTGTCTCTATGGGCTAGGGCTGCCCAGAGGCAGCTGAACCCGCTGCTGGCCGGACTGATGGGGGAGACCGCATATGGAGCTGGCACTCCTCCCTTTCCCTATGGGTGTCCACTCCCCTACCTTGGGGGATTCCCACAGGGCTTCCAACAGGGCTTATCTGGGGTGGGGCTGTTGGTGTGCTCCACTTAGCAACCAGAGGAGGTACCCAGCCCCTTTCTGGCCCCCAGCTCCAGCCTGAAGCAGAGAGTGAGCAGGATGGGGTCTGTCAGTACACAGATTGGGGGCTATGTAAGGTCTAGTTTATTTCTGGGTTGGAGCAAGTCAAGTAAGGGAATGAATTGAGGGTCAGGAGAATGCTCAGGCACACCCACTGTGCCAGCCCAGCCCAGCCTAGGGGGCCAGGAGACCAGGAGGCCTGCCCTACCTGGTAGCAAGGATCCAGGCTAGGACCCAGATCCAGGCTAGGACTCGGATCCAGGCTAGGACACAGTGGCCACACGCTGGTGAGGGTGTGATGGCAGTGAGCACCCTTCCCCACCCCCACACCCAGGGACAGCCCCTCGGCCAGGAGGCTGCTGCCGCCTTGTGGGCCCTGGACTCCTCACCGAGCTCTGTAGCCAGCACAGTGAGGTTGTGCCAGACACGAGCCTCGCGGTCCAGGGGTGCTGCTGTGTGGATGGTCCCTTCTTCGGGCTGGATAGAGAAGCAACGCTCCGGATCCGAGTGGGGGAGGATGGAGTATCTGGGGAAGGGAGAGAGATGCTGGGGCTGATCTGGGGCGGTACCACAGCTTGTTCCACCCCTTCCCTTCTTTCTTCCCTCTGTTCACCTTGCCAGACCTCATGACTCCTCTGGGCAGAGCCATAATTCAGGTTGGAGTCCCCTTAAAAGGCATATATCCCTGGGGGATCACCACCATTAAACACCTGTTAAGACTCAGGGCCACCGGGCTTCATAGGGGGAGGGGGAGAAGATACAGAAGGGAGTAGAAGAGGGATAAACAGACCTTGACTTTCAGACTTCTGGGCCCTGTTCTGAGAACCCAGGGACCTGTGTTTCAGCCCAGCTCTGCCTTGGACTAGCTATGTGACTTAGGGCAAATCGTTTAACCTCTGTTTACTCAATTGAAAAATGGGAATGACACCAGTACCTCCCTCACAGAGCTGTGACAGGGATGCTGGCCGGGGAGGGGGAAAGAGTGGCTGTTCTGCCACTTACCAACTGTGTGACCACTCATGGCTGGCTTCTAAAACAACTGGTGATGAGAACACCCACTTCACGGGGCTGTTGTGAGAATTCAGTATCAGCAAGGGGGTAAACTGTGAAGCACTTTGGGAGTGATCAATAGAGATCCACTTATCAAATGAGATTACATCTGCTTGCACTGCCACTGGGAGGTGCCACCATTATCTACCCAGAGGGATGGATAGAGGGTTGAAGAATGGTCAGCCAGGCCCTCCGGCTCTCCCCTGGCACCCAGACCTGTAGACTAGCAAGCCCAGCTGCAGGGAGGGAGGCTTTTGCTGGGATATGAGTGATTTGCTATAAGGTAGGGGGCACATTTACTCATTCTCTGGGTGGGAATAGCCTGCCATCTGGCTCCCCAGCCCACACCCCAGCTCACCTACCTGATTGGGCTGGCAGGGGAGTCCAGGTCAGCCGCTGAGATCTGGCCTACCAGGGTCCCTGGGGCCTTGTTCTCGGGCACGGTCAGGTGGTAGGCAGCCTGGGTGAAGGCAGGTGGCTCTGGGGCATCTTGCACCACCACACGCACAGAGGCCACATCCTTGAAGGGCCCTCGCCGCAGATAGGCTGGGTCGATGAGCGTGTTGGTGGCCTCGACACGGAAGGCGTAGGAGCGCCGGCTCTCGAAGTCTAGGGGCTACAGTGAGGGGAGAGAGAGAAAAAGCGAGGTGTGTGGAAACCAGGGCAGGTCCCAGGCTCTTGGACGGTGACAAGTCCCCTCCACATGCATGCAGTGCTCAGTCCTCATGTGAGGAGAGGTGGCACTAGAGGGACAGTGGCCTTGGTGGTCAGGATGCACGGCAGATTACTTAGTAACTCTAGGTCTGCCCCTAGCTCCATCATAGACTTGTCACTTCTTCTTTCTAAGCCCCAGGGCCTCATCTGAAAGATGAGGAGGTGACCATGATCTCTAAGCTCCAACAGAGAGATCCTGAGTCTGTTCTAGAAGAACAGTTAAATATGTGCCCTATGGGTCAGCAGGAGGCAGGTCTAAGAGAAAGCATTAACAGGCAGGAGACTAACCTTGCGGACAGTGAGGAGCCCGTCTCGACCCTGGGAGTCTGTGCTGATGCTGAAGGCCTCGGACCCCTCCCCATCCAGGATGCTGTATGCCATCAGGGCGTTGTCCCCCAGGTCTGGGTCCTGGGCCCGGAGCCGGCCCACCAGCGTGCCAGGTCCAGCTGTCTCCACCACGGAGAACTGGTATAGGCCTTGGGGTGACAGAGGGGAGACACCTTAGAGAGGTCCCCAGCCCTCCTCCCTCCCCATAGCACTTTCTTCTCCCAGGGTCTGGCTGGGGAGGAGGCGAGGAGGGAAGGTTTCTCCAGACACTGTACGGGTGGGGTGGTCAAAGGATGGCTCAGGTGGCAGCAATGGCCCCTTACTCTGTGGGAACTTGGGGGGATTGTCGTTGACATCGCTGAGTGTGACGGTCACCGTAGTGCTGCCTGACAGCCCCCCCATGTGGCCGCCCATGTCCTTAGCCTGGATCACCACCAAGAACTCCTCCTGTGTCTCCCGGTCCATGTTGGGGATGGCTGTACGCACCACTCCTAGGGAGACACGCTGGGTCAGAGGGTGTCTGTCCCCTTGGCTGCCCCACCGGGCTCCCAAGCTCCATCCTCACCAGTCTGGGGGTCCACAGAGAAGAAAGGCAGTCCATCCAGAACAGTGTACACCAGCTTGGCGCTGTTCCCATAGCTGGGGTCATCAGCATCGTGAGCAGTCACCTGGATCACTGATGTCCCTGTGGGGGATGCCAGCACCCCATTCAGCAGCAGCAGGGCAGGATGGGGAAGAATAGCAGACGGGGGGATGCAGACATGAGGGAGGCTGAACTGAAGGGGGCAGGTTCTGGGGCAGACAACAAGAAGGGAAGGAGAGGTGAGAGAGCTCCAGAAGACGGAAACTGGGGCACTGAGAGCTGGGGTGCTCACCGACATTGGACATCTCGGGCACGGTGGCATGGTAGGGTCCAAGGGGAAAAATGGGTGGATTGTCGTTGATGTCTTGCACTTTGATGATGAACTCTGATGGGGGCTCCAGGGGCCGGTTGGAGGCTCGGTCCACGGCTTGGGCCAGTAGCACATATTGTGCCTTTTCCTCCCGGTCAAGGCTCTTGGTAACGTGAATATTGCCTGTGGCCTCATCAATCACAAATACGGTGCCTGCCCCCTCCCCGGTCAACAGGTACTTGGTGCGGCCCTCTCCCCGGTCAACATCCGAGTGCAGCTGCAGGGGTCAGGAAAAGATGGCAGAGGGCTCCAAGTACAGAGACAGGGTTAAAGAGTCTAGGTTTGGGTAGAGCGTTGGGAGTCCTGAGGGACCAAGGTCATTGCAGAAGTGATGAAGTTGCAGGGCAGGGCCTAAGGGCCTCGTGTCAGAGTAGACATGGGAGGGGTCATCCTTACCTTGCCAATGAGGACAGGCTCTGGACCAGCATATTCCTCAATGACAAAGAACTGGTTCCAGACCCAGCTCCTTCGAGTCCGCAGCAGAGCAGGCCCTGGGTGTCCCCGGGACCCTGCCCAGGCCCGGGCTGGGGCTGCCAGACGCCCCATGCATCCCCAGCCACCCAGCCAGGCCAGCAGGAGCCTCACCAGGCCCCACATGTTTGGACTCCAGCCAGGGCTCTGTTCACTGGCCCTGGGTGCCGAGGCCGGGCCAGGCCACGTGGCCCATGAGCAGCTGGGGCGGAGGGGAAGATGCGTTGAGGCTACCCCATGGATCCACACCTGCAGGACAAGCAGCTGCTCAGGCTCAAGGAAACCCCTAGCCCTCCTCCCCCCAGAATTAGATGCTGAAGACCAGACCTCCAAGGAACGAGACACTCCACTGCCCAGAACTCAGACTAACACACAGAGCAGAGAGGCTGATCTTTCCTCTACCCAGGCTCTGCATGTATTCACCTCCAGCTCTCCAAGCTGATAAATCTCTGGTCAGTCAACTCCGAGTAGAGAACTGGGGAGGAACACAGCAGAGGGGATGCTGGGAGGGCTTGGAATCCCAAATCTGGTCTCTGTCCTCCCAGGTTGGGCATGTAGCCAGGTATTGGAGGAGGCGGGGCTACCAGAGAAAGGGCTTAAAATTACAGAGTTGGGATTCATGGAGGTGTGGCCTTAAGGTGTCTAGGGTCAGGATGAGATGACAAGGAGAGCAGCCTCAGGCGGGGTTGAGAGTGGGAGAAAGTCCCTCCCACAAGGGGGAGCCCCACTTCTCTAGGCCCTGTCTCCAGCCCACACTGCCAGTGCAGTCCTTGAAGGGGGACTGGGCTCATGAGACAGGAGTTGGGAGCCAGAGCTGAAGGAAGAGGATACAGGGTGGGGGACAGGGGGAGGTGACCGGGGAGGGAGGCCGACCCAGAGGCTAGAGATACAGCATGACTGACAGCTAGACTGACTCAGGGACTGTCCAGCAGAGACAGAAATGACTGGATGAGAGACAGAAACAGAACAGTGGCAAGAGACAGAATGAGAGAGACCAGGGCAGCAGCCTGGGTGTCTGAAGGTAGAGAGGAGTCCTAGGGGCCAGGCTTGGAAACAGGTCACCCGGGGCAGTTCCGGGCAGGCAGTGGCAGCCCTCAGCTTCGGGGGTGTCAAGTCAGGCCTCAGGAACTTAATTCTGGGAGAAGGAGCAGACAGGAGGGGTGGAGGCAGGGAGGGGCCGCGGGAAGGGAGCTAGAGAGGAGACCCTTCCCACTGCTGTCCTTTCTCCCAGCAGGGGTGGGTGGGGGGACCCCTCAGGTAGCTGTGGCTTCTGCCCCTCCTCCCTCAGAGCAGACATACACCTCACAGTCCCTTTGCTCCCGAGGGAAGGGGGAAGCCGGAGGAACGCTGGGGACCAGAGAGAAGGCGGGATGAGGAGGCGAGAAGGAAGGAGATAGAGGAGTGGGAAACAGGATAGCAGGAAGGGGAGAGGAGAGGGAGGGAAAGGAGAGCAAGAAAGAGAAAAGAGAAAGACAGCAAAGGGGAGAAAGGTAGAGAAAGAAAAAGGCAAAGAGGGAGAGGAGATGGAAAAAGGACAAGAGGGTGAGGGAAGGGTTGGGAGATAGAGGGAAGGGATAAGGAAGGCAAACAGGCAGAGAAGGAAGGGTGAAAAGAAATCGAGAGAAGAAAGAGGGAGAGAGGTGCGAGGGGAGAAGGGAAAGAGGCAGAGCGCGGGAGAAGGGAGTAGGCAGCGGGTTCCCAGCCACGGAGCGCACCCCTCCGAAGACCCCCTGGCTGCGGGCCCCCTGCTGCCCCTCCGCGGATTCCCGACCCCTGCTCCGGGGCAGGCGCCCTTACCTGGCACTGCCGAGGGGCCCAGGCCGGCGGGAAGCACCCCCGCCCGCCCCCGTCGCCCGGTCCCGGGGGCGCAGCCCCGAGCCGATTGGAGCGGGCGCCGCGGCTCCGCTGCAGGTCTGAGCGGCCCCGGCGAGAACAAGGGAGCGAGACGGAGGGGGCGGGGGAAGGAGGCTCCGCCTGCGGAGAAACGAGGCGGCTCCGCGCCGCGCGGGAGAGAAGAGCCCAGCCTCCGACCCTCCCCGGCCAGCCGGGCCCGCGCGGCGGGGGCGGAGGCGGCGCCGCGCGTCCGCCCCCTCGGCGCTCCTGGGCTGCGGGGCGCATACAGATGTGGGGCCCCTCCCGGACTGGGCCCGCAGCGCCCGGCAGAGCACTCGGGCGGGAGGACGTCCAGGCCACGGCGCCCGGCCATTTCCGAAGAGCTGGCGGGGCGGGTGCACCCGGGAACGCGAAGCTGCCAGCCTGCCGCCCGCAGCGGACAACGGGTGAGCGCACTGTGAGGTGGGGAATTCCGAGCCCACTGCGGAGAGACCCGGCTCCGGGCTCCGGGCTCCCGGTTCCTGTCTGGCTTTTGGGACTGATGGGGATTCCATCTGCAAGGCGGTGGCGTTTTGAGAGCCCGTGGAGAGCACGGTAGCAGGTCAGCTGGGGGACACTTAAGGACGGCATAAGGGTCCAGAGAGTCCGAGGCCCGGGCCCAGGGAGCGGCTCGGGGACAGAAGCACGACATCGGCGGGAGGGCGGAGGCGGGCAGTAGAGCCCTTTTTGGGAAGCTCGGTTACCGGGGCCAACAGAGCGAGGAGCTGCTGCCCCCTGGCGGCAGTTGTGGGAAACACCAAGGTGGCAGGCAGGTGATCAAATCCCTGATTTAACCGTGCACAGGACCATGAACCAGAGGAGAACCCACCCTCCTAGCCCTGCTGGGGTGCCGCCACGGACACAGGTTGCCCCATTTCCCAGTGGGGCCTTCCCAAATGAGGAAGGTCCACAGCTTTGGGCTGGTCAGGGCCAAGGCAGGGGATGGAAGACAGTGGGAAGTTCCTGTTTCAGTAAGCAGGAGGCAGTCAGCCTAAAGGAACACATGGTATGGGAGCAACTCCTACTCCAGGCTACAGATATCCACAGTGTGGCTTAACCTGCCCAACGAAAGCCACTCACACAGTTTAAAACTAAGTCAGATTTTTATTTTTTTTCCATAGACCACATCATTTAATAATAAAAAAAATAAAAATAAAAATTGAACAAAAGGAAAAGGTGGATATAAAGTGGAACCTGTGGGAAAGAGACAAGGGCTGCAGGACAGAAGAGACTGGGAACTGCAGGGGCCCTGGGACTCAGGAGGAGATGCTGATTCAGCTCATAGGTGACCCAGTCCTGGCCCCGGCTGTTCCCAAGAGAAGGCTGTAAGTACCCAGGGAGGTGGTAAGCAGGATGGAGGAAAAATCAGAGGACTAGGGCACCTGGCTGTTCCCCATCTCTGGCCAACCGCCTCCTTGCCTAACCTAGCTCTTGCCTCTCAGACTTAATGGGAAATGAGAGGGAGGGGAGGGCTGTCCCAAGAGATAGGTTAAGGGGGTGTGTTTGGGGGGAAAGGATAGCCACCGTTCCATTTGGTATGTATGTAGGGGCAGGTGGTGTGAAAGACCCTTGGCTCCAGGGTGGTGGAGACTGTGCCTATCCCTCTGTGGCCGTAACCCCCTGGGGCCGAGTGGCTGGTACCTGCAGCTCTAGTGTTTTCCCCGCTAGCGGCGCCCACCCCGGTCCCGCACAGGTGTGCTCCGACTCCGGCTTCTGCTGTGCCGCTTGGTGTCCCTGCGATCCCTTTCCCTGCCTCGTTCTCGGTCCCTTTCCCTATCCCGATCTCGGTCCCCCCTGTCCCGCTCTCTTTCTCTCTCTCTCTCCCTGTCCCTCTCCCGACTGTGCTCCCGACGTTTCTCTCGCTCCAGCTGCCGGTTCCGTTCACGCTCGGCTTCCTTCTCCCGCTCCTTTTGCTCTTCTTCTTCTTGCTCCTTTCGCCGCTTCTCCCGCTCCTTGGCCCGTTCGGCCCGCTCTGCCTCCTTCTGAACGATCTGCAGCCAGGTAGGAAAGGCACAGAGTAGGCAGCTCAGTCCTGGTCACAGCCTCCATTTGTGCCTGGACCCCGCCTCCTAGCTCAGGATCAGCTTTTCAGTTAAGCAGGAAGGGTTTGGGGGTTCAGCAATTGCATCCTGTCTTTCTTAGAGCACCTTTCTCCAAGTTTCAGCCTTTTTTTTTTTTTCCTTCTTGAGACAGTCTTACTCTGTTGCCCAGGCTGGAGTGCAGTGGTGCTATCTTGGCTCACTGCAGCCTCTGACTCCCAAGTTCAAACGATTCTCCCACCTCAGCCTCCCTAGTAGCTGGGATTACAGGTGTCTGCCACCATGCCCCACTAAGTTTCGTTATTTTTAGTAGAGATGGGGTTTCACCATGTTGGCCAGGCTGGTATCAAACTCCTGACCTCAGGTGATCCACCCACCTCAGCTTCCCAAAGTGCTGGGATTACAGGCGTGAGCCACCACGCCTGGCCACCATGTTTCAACTTTTACACACATTGACAGGTACTGGCACCACCCATGCCTGGCCCTTGGTGTTTCCCCAACTCCCTACCATCAGCATAGATGTGAACAAATCTTTTTTGAGTAGCATAAGCCGAAAATTCCTAAAAGGCCTGTTACTAAGAAACTAAATTAAAAATGCAAAAACTTAAAAAGCAGGGAAATGAATTTATAAAACACAATTTCTCAGCTAAATAGAGTCAAGTTCTTTTTTTTATTATTGTCCAAGACAGAGTTTTGTTCTTGTTGCCCAGGCTGGAGTGCAATGGCACAATCTTTGCTCACTGCAAGCTCCGCCTCCTGCGTTCAAGCAATTCTCCTCCTCAGCCTCCCAAGAAGCTGGGATTACAGGCACCTGCAACCGCGCCTGGCTAATTTTTGTATTTTTAGTAGAGACAGGGTTTCCATGTTGGCCAGCCTGGTCTGGAACTCCTGACCTGAGGTGATTCACCCAACTTGGCCTCCCAAAGTGCTCGCATTACAGGCGTGAGCCACCACACACTGCCTAAAATCAAGTTCTAAGAAGCTTGGTTGGCACAGCCAGCTTCCCAGACATCCACAAACCTCAGCTGCTGTGTGTCCATCATTACCCTCCTTGGTCTGGTTTCTCTATGGTATACCAATTAACTGAAAACTGCCTTTTTGTGATGCTTAGTTTTTTCCCCTTTAGCCTAAAGCTAGTAAGTACTTGGGCCAACTCACTCCCACAGTCACATGAATCTCCCCTCACCCTGACCTCAAGCCTCGGTGCCACTAGGGAGCAGGGCACCAAGGAGAGCACTCACCTGGCTGTCAGTTAGTGGGAGCCAATAGATGCAGGGAGCTGCCTTGGTCTTTCGGAAAAGGTCATCCAGCAGCTTGGCAGGTGGTTCCTCCTGGGCTTTCTCTGAGGTAGAAAAAAGTGAACCAGATTTGATGCATCTGACCCTCTGTCCCATCCCATCTGGGTCCCTTTCCCACCTACTAGTGGGTATGCGTACCCCATAGCTAAGTACCTACCTTTCTTCTCACTCTTCTTTTCTTTAGACTTTGCGCGTTCCTTGCGGCGGCGGTCACGGGACCTTGATCGGGAACGGGGCCCTTCCCGAACTTTGTCCCGATCCCATTCACGCTCTGATCGAGTCCGCTCCCGCCGCTCCATTTCCCGTTCCCGCTCTGCCCACTGTTCCCGCACTGCCCGTTCCTGCTCCCGCTGCTCTGCCCGGGGGTGCTGTGGTGGCTGGACCGGGGGTGGGGGTGGGGGGTGCAGGGGCCGTGGTATCCCCTGCTCCTCTGTCTTAGTTTCAGAGGGACGGTCCACCAAGAGGCCTCGGTGATAATCCAGCTGTGGGGAGAGAAGGGACAAGAACAGTCAGGATAGAGGTGGTATCACTCCCACTCAAGGAGCCCAGGTACCACTTTGAAGCCCCATGGTACAATTAAAGGAACCAAAGCCAGGGAAGAACAGGAAAGAACAGAATCTCAAGGTCTGGCAGGGATCTCTGCTGAAATCTAGCAGCTAATGGCTTCCCCTGCCCCTCCCCTCCTTCCTCTCCCTAGGTTTCTTACCTCATCTTGCTCGGCATAGTCAGCACAAAGGAATTTGGGATTGGACTGGGGCCATTTGACCCCATGCAGAGCTGTGCGGGTGGCAACAGCTTCCTCTACTGTTGAGTACTGGTGGAGGAAGGGAGAAGATGGAGGGTCACAGTGTGTCTGCAACCCTTCCCACTTGCTGCAACACCCTTAAACCTGCCCACACTGGTCACAAAAGGAAATATATGCCATGACCTATAGAATCAGCTTCTTCCCCTCACCGTTACAAAGCAATGAGATTTGATCTTGTCAATCCAGAAGGCCTCTTCCACCAAGGTTCCTGTGCGCCCCAACAACTCCTTTAGCTGGCCTAAAGTGAAAGGACGGACCTGCCAATGAAAATAAGACTTTCAGGGTCTTGAAGAAGGCAAGACCACCACCCATACAGCCAATCTTTAGATTTCCCAAGCTGCTGTCACAGGACTATAGTTTCAAGGTTTGGGTGAGGGCAGAGAGTTTAGGAACCTTGCAGTAAGAATGTGAGAAGAGTGGTGGTGCTTCCCAGCACTGAGACATTGTATATGAGGCCCTCTGCAAGTCCTCAAAACAACCCTGCAGGGCGACAGCTTTTCCCCTTCATTTTTAGATGGGTAAATAGGTTAAGTAACTCACTCAAGATCAGTGAGTAACTTAATCTATTGGTAGACCAGTTCAACTATGAGTGGAACCTAAGAAGTGTAAGCCTAAAGCTCAAACTTAACCACTAAGTCAGCTGGGATGTGAGAAACAATGACTTACCAAATTGGAGATATGGACAATGTTGCTAATCTTGCCCCGGGGTGGGGAGGGCACCTGGGCAGTTCGGACTGGGTCATCAATTGTAATGGAAACTCCGGACTTTTGCTGGCTAATGGAACGTCGAGTTAAGGTATCTCCTAAAGTCACTATGAAGAAGACCACAAGAACAGCTTTTGGTAGGAATCAATACTGGCTTGTTTCACTTTCAACATAACTATCACGGTTCCCCTTCTTTTATACCAAGCAGCCACTCCTTCATCTAAACGTGTAGAGCACCTATTATCTGCAAAGTACTGTGCTAGGCTAACCTCATCATGGAGATTCAAAGATTAAACAGAGTCAAATCTGGCCCTCAAGTAGCTTACTTCATATGTAGGAGAAAGATATGATATACGAAAAGCGTCACTCACCTTTCTTTACTTCATGCTCTGCAGGTGGGGGCAAGGCCACCTCTACTGACACCTGGGGAGGTACAGGAGGTTCTGCTTCAGGTTCCTTCTCTTCTTCCTCTTCTTCTCTTTGCCCATTCTCCTGGCCCTCTGCAGGTACTACCTATCAAGAGAACACAGCAGGTCTGTTAAACACCAAACTGGCATATTCTTTTCAGCCTCTGGTTCCCTGGTGAGAGCAACAGTCAACTTAGCATGTTCCTTCCGCTAGGGGTATTTCATTATCCAGCTCACCTCTACTAGATCCTGGGATTGTTAGTACCTCAACTTTGCCTTGAGGAAAACTAAGGCAGGAGTTGGTAAATTTTTTCTGTAGAGCAAAGCAGTACTTCAGGTTTTGCAGGCCACATAGTCTGTTGCAACTACTCAACTCCGGTGATGTTGCAGTGAACAAACAGCCACAGACAAAAGTGAATGGTGTGGTTGTGTTCCAATAAAACTTTATTTATAACAGGTAGCCAGCTGGATTTGGTAGTCTGACCCCTGAAAGTGTCAATCAACCCAACCCTCTGCACAGACAGGAAAGTTCCCTCCAAAGACTTTATCTCAGCTCCTCAGCTGGCTGCTCTGCATCTACTGCTCCCACCTTCCTCCCGACACTGGGGTGCAGAATCCTTACCTGAGTGACTGTCCGGCATATTTTCAGCCCCTTGTCATGGGTCCCATCATCGCCATTACGCTCTGTCTCATCCTCAGAGATGCGAGAGTCATCAGCATGAAGATCCACAACAGCCTCCTGCCCCGCCAGGGGTTTGATGTCGGGGATGAGGCTCTGGGACACAGATACCCCCCACCCCGTTACACTGGGCCCATGTCTACTCCCACCTTAACAGGTCTCATCCTCCCTTCCCTGGCTCCTCCCACCTCACCTTGAGTGATTCAGTGGTGATACTGATGGAAGGTTTCTTCTGTGTGGTGGCTGTGCTGGCTCCCCAACGTCGTTTCCGACCAGGCTGGCCCCCCTCTGTGTCACTGTTTCCAGCTGGCACCCCCTTGGTAGCTGCTGTCCCCAAGAAATAGACCCAACAGTTAGATGGTCTCAGGACCTCTGCTAGTTCAAACCATAATACCTACAGGTTACCCCTGGCTGGAGTTTTGGAGGTTAAAGAAATCAGTGTGTGGGTGTGGTGACTCACGCATGTAATCCCAACACTTTGGGAGGCTGAGGCGGGTGGATCATGAGGTCAGGAGACCAGCCTGACCAACATGGTGAAACCCCATCTCTACTAAAAATACAAAAATTAGCCGGGCGTTGTGGTGCACGCCTGTAATCTCAGCTACTCAGGGCGCTGAGGCAGGAGAATTGCTTGAACCTGGGAGGTGGAGGTTGCAGTGAGCCGAGATTGTGCCACTGACTGCACTCCAGCCTGGCAACAGAGCAAGCCTCCGTCTTAAAGAAAATTAAAAAAAAAAAAAGAAAAGAAAAGAAAAGAAATCATATCTGGGAACTGGGAAACCATGGCTTCAGACTGAACACTAAAAGGGCTGAGGTCCCTTCCTGATAGAAACTACTGATCTAAAAGCAGTAAGGGAGGGGTAGCTAGTATGATGAGCTGTTTAAACTTTTAATAGTAGACAGTAGTATCTTAAGTAGTGTGGAAGAAAAACTGAGAAGGACATGTGAATGCAGAAGAAACAAGAACACTACGTGATACTAACATCTAAGCAAGAACTAAGATCATGATGGGATCTGGTCTTCCTTTAATTTTCACACCACAGATTGATATTTAAGTTATAAACATCTATTATACTTTTGTAATCTAGAGTTCCTCATTGGGGAAAATGTTAAAATTGTTACTGTTTGAGGTGTGGGGCACTTTCATTTCCTCGGGTGCGCTCTTAGAATAACCCATAAACAAGGTCAAGCGCGATGGCTCATGCCTGTAATCCCAACACTTTGGGAGACGAGGCAGGCAGATCACGAGGTCAGGAGTTCAAGACCAGCCTGGCCAACATGATGAAATCCCATCTCTATTAAAAATACAAAAATTAGTTGGGCATGGTGGCACGTGCCTCTAATCCCAGCTACTGAGGAGGCTGAGGAGAACTGCTTGAACTGGGACCTGGGAGGCGGAGGTTGCAGTGAGCCAAGATTGTACCACTGCACTCCAGCCTGGACTACTACTACAGAGGAAGACTCCGTCTCAAAAACAACAACAACAACAAAACCCAGAATAATTCATAAACTGCTAAGCATTACATAGGAGTCCTTGAAACTCATTCGTTGTTGAGTATTCACGTATCTGAAAGAATAAATGCCTCTAAGGCTAAATGGGACATGGTCTCAGACACCTCATAGTGTATCTCATTAAAATGTGACTAGAGAAATATGATGGAGATTGTCTCAAGCTTTGAATTTCAAAATGAAACCCTACATAGGAAAGGATTCAGATTTGCTAGGCACAAGGGGTGGGGCAGGAGGGAGCAACCCAAGAATGCCATTGAGAATGAAAATCTGGTTCTCAATGAATGCTGATTTTTATGGTATGGTATTCTTGACTTTTATCAGGGACTTGGGGCTAGACTTACAGACAACGGAGATCTTCCTCTTGAATGATTTGGGCAGCGAGCTCTGTATAAAGAAGAAAAAGGGAAAAAAAGAGAAAGAGAGACACCCCACAGAGAGGGGGGAAGGAGGTTAGATGGGGCAGTCTTAGAATAGCCTCCAAAGACACAGAGAGAGTGAGAGAGAGAGACAGAGAGACACAGAGACAGACAGAGACCAAAACAGAAGCGGCAAACGGCAAAAACGAAGCAGAATCAATGCAAGTTAGAGAAAAAAAAAAAAACAAAAAACTAAACATCAGAGCAGGGAAAAGTCATCTACTCCGTATCACACCTGTGTATTAGCTTAACCAGAAATAAGCTGGAAGAGGAATTTAGTAGCCTCTCAGCCCCTTAAAGATGTTGGTCATGCCCTCTTTCACTGTCTGAGTCGAGAGGACACCAAGCCAAACAAACTGTGCCCCAAACTGGGTCATCTAGTCCTCCCAGATCCTTCCTTGCTAACTGGAGGAAACAAGGAAAACCAACTTTGGATGGCAACTTCAACAAGGTAACCCTCCTTTCTTCAATGGCCAGACTGATGCCCAATGACAATGGCTTTGAGATGCCTGGACAGCAGACCGTCATGTCAAGGCTGCCCAGACCCCCGCCACACTGTGGAAAAGGGCAGCACTAGACCCACTGGAGATGAGGCTCTTGAGCCAAGTGCTAGCAAAAAGAACTTAAAGGTGTCTTTGGCAAAGGAAGGTTTTTATGAAGGGCAGACTGTCCCCAAGGAGATTCTTAAGACTTTCCAGCCACCTCAGGGAGCTTCAGCAGAGTCTTACTGTTTCCTCTGCAACCAGGGTTCAAGCCTTAGAGGCCCTGCCAAGGACCAGAAGACATCTTTGGGACAAGTTTCTACCCCACACACTCAGTGGGTGAATGACGAAAGACTATGGAGAGGGGGAAAAAAAAAGCAAGAGAAAAAGGGAATAGAGTATTTTTAAATGTAGGTGCTTATTTCTGGAAAAACTAAGACCTCTCTACCACTCTTCTAAAGGGTAGGGCAGAAACCTCGTGATGAAATCCCTTTCCCATCCACCCCCGCCCCCAGCCCCGTTTGTGTCGTCTAACCAAGTCTCCTTGGTCTCTGTTAAGGGCCAGCCTGACCCCTAGCTGGGCCGCTCTCGATGGGTAAGTTAGTGAGGAGGAAAAAAAAAAAAAAAAAAAAAAAAAAAAAAAAAAAAGTCTTAATTAAAACAGGAAAAACATGAACCAAATAAATAAATAAAAGAAATCAGAAAAAATAAAGATATAGAAAAAATAAAATAAAATATTAAAAAAAGAAGAAGAAAATAAAGAAGAAAATAAACTAGGAATATGACAAATGTTCCAGGTACCATCTCACACCTGGGATCTTCAGTTCAGCCAATCGCACCTCACTGTGTACTGTATCTAGTCAACCGCCGGTCCAATCAGAATGAGCCCTCCCTGCTAGGCGCTGTGCAATTGGTGGGGGGTTGGGTTGGCAAAAAAGGTGGGCGCACGGCGTGGTAGTCAGCACGGCACTGCCAGAGTCCTCCCAGGGGCGCAGGGGGGGCGGGAGGGAAACGTGTGGGGGGACGCTGCCCAGTTTCCATGATGTCAAGACAGTTCACTGGCGGTGGCCAGGCTCAGCGAGGGATAGAGGGGGAAAAGGGGCAGAAACATCAGTCCTGGCCCTGTAGGGACATCATCTTGCAGTCCCTGATGAGATGGCCTGTGAGTAGCAGGAATGATCCTTGCCTTTTATCGTGAGAGGCAGGCAGGACCCATGTCCACCAGTGGCAAGCTGCAGCAATACCACCACCCAATACTTGGAATCCAGGTGATGACTCCAGAGTCCCTTTCTCCTCTGCCTGTAACTGGGGAGGGGGTCCTCTCACCGAGTGGGATCATGGAGCCTCTGATGAAGGTAGCCTGGGGGTAGTAGGTGAATATCCCCCGGACCTGGCACACATTCAGCAGCAAGGTCAGAATACTTCTCTTCGGAGAGTTGTGGCTGGCATCTCCTCAGGGACTCCAGCTGAGACAGTGGTTCCAGTCAGGTGGATGAAATGAGTCCCTGCCTCCAGGGATGGAGGAGAAGTTGGAGCAACCAACATGCTGCCCTTCACCATGGACAACAGGGACCAAAGGAAAGTCCATCTGATGAGCAAGTGGTGATACATGGGCTGGGCTGTCATCAGCATTAAATCCCCAGGGGCTCAGACCCTAGACTCCTCTGCACGGTTCCTAGTCGTCACAGCTTAAGTAGAGGGTCCCACTCAGTGTTTTACAGCATGGCACTGCGATCACAAACTTTAGGAGGTCTTGGTGCCCTAGACGGGGATCCCAACAGTCTGTAGCAAACAAGGCAACCCACAGTCCTCAAAA